TAGCTGGACAACTAAAAATATATAGAAAAAATTAGCTGAGCATGGTGGCACATGCCTGTAGTCCCAGCTACTTGGGAGGCTGAGGCAGAAAGATTGCTTGAACCCAGGAGTTTGAGGTTGCTGTGAGCTAGGCTAACGCCACGGCACTCTAGCCCAGGCAATAGAGCAAGACTGCCTCAAAAAAAGAAAGAAAAAAAAAAACATCGAATGGTTAGGGAGAGGATTATAAAAAAACTTATAAGGATCATTGAAATTTGTTCCTAGAACCAGGTACACAAAGGATTATTACTCCAAATCAGCAAGGTAAATCAGCTGCTGTCAGAGACTCTAGTTGGGAAATTACACACTTGAAGTGTGCTTCATAGGCCAGGCCCTTTCTTGTACCTTGTCAACTGTAGAGATACTCTCCAGTAAACACTGGAAAGGCTTTCTTATGTGTGTAAAGCCATAGTAAACTCAAATAGAGATTTAAGACCATACAAACTGCTATTACAGACAGTAGTCCCCCCTTATCAGCAGAGGATATGTTCCAATATCTCCAGTGGATGCTTAAAACTGCAGATAGTACCAAACCATATATATATTATGCTTTTTCAATCCGATAACTGAAAGGACTACTAAGTAACTAAGTGACTAACAGGTGGGTAGCATATAGAGTGTGAATATGCTGGGAAAAGGTATTCATGTCCTAGGTGGGACTGAGCAGGACAGCACAAAATTTCATCAGGCTACATAGAATGATGTACGATTTTAAATGTAAGAATGTTTTATTTTTGGAATTTTCCATTTAACGTTTCATATCGTGGGTTGACTGTGAGTAAATGAAACAGCAGAAAGTGGAACAGAGATAAGGAAGGACTACTGTATTCTCAATCCAGCCATAGAGTAAAATAGTAAAAATAGTCTAAACTCTGCAAAGAGTATAAGAGAATGGACACTTACACTATTGGTGGGAGCAGTGGTCTTCATATCCCTTAAAAGAATTTTATAAAAGTGCATTCCCCCTTGCACATTTTTTAGTTGACATAAAAAATTTTCATAGGATTAAATGGATAAAAAGGAAAGTTTTCAGCATATGCTAAATATTGACGTTAAAAAATAGTTATATCATACAATAGATTCTAAATGCCATAACAACTGGAAACCCACCATGACATTATCCATTTCAAAATACATACAACCTTTCCTTTTAAAAGTCAGAAATTTTACATCCTTTCTTTTCTCCTTGAACTCACATTTTTATTTTTCCCCTCACATAATTTTATTCTAATAGAATATGTTTATGCTTTGAATTCTTTTTTAATCACCCTATCATAATTCTCTGCAAAAATAATATGTATTTAAGTTTTTAAATTTGTTTTATTTCCTGTGACCATAGTACCTAAGAATTAAAAAATATATGCCTTCTGGACTAAGTTATCATTATACATCATTACACATTACACATCAAAATTTTAAAAATTACAAATTTTGTTACATAATTATTAAACATAATGCAAACGGTTATTGGAAACACATCTATTATTAGTAGTAAAAGTGAAATATCACTTACTATGTGCTAGGCATTGTTGGAAATAGTTTTGCATATATTAACTCATTTGATACTCAAAGTAACCCCACTGAAGTAGGTAGTATTACTATGCCCAATTGGCAGAAAAGAAAATGGAATCCCAGAGAGAATAAGGAACTTTCTTGCGGTTAAATATAGGTAATAGTAAAGTTCAGTTTCAAACCAAGGCAGACTGGTTCCTGAGTTCATGCTTCTAACCATTATACTCATTTCATTTAGGTGTGGATGGGTAAATAATAAAATCAGACAGCATTCAATATTAAGTCTACTCCTACTTTTCAGTTTATAAATATTAAGAACTGAGAAAATTTATTCACATAAATAAATGGGTTAAATGGAAAGAGTATAATTCCAGCACTGTCATTCAATGCCTTAAAAATCTTTCTGAATTATACATCATAAATTACATAGTAACTGACCTATCATCAAAAAATATTTTAAATGACCTATCAGCTGACAATTCAATTAGATCCTTAAGTTTTATTGAAAGAAAATAATTGACATGACTTGGGAAAGGATTTATTATCCAGTCATTAATCATTCACTTTCTCAACTCACTTCTAATAGATGAGATTTTCCCTTTAGCATCTCAAAGATTTTTGAATGCCAGGGTAAAGCAATATTCAGTACTATTTAGTATGGATGATAGGTATGGCTTTGTTCTGTAAAGCAAAAGTAGGGTAATTGTGAACAGGCTGAT